TTCCTTCCTTTCATTTCTACTCAAGCCATACATTCAACAAATACAGAAGTGTGTAGAAATGACAAGTTCCTTAGGTCATCATATAAGAAATAGGTCGTTTCATGCACTATTTTTTTTTTCAAGGAAAACTCAAAACAGTGTCGTTTTGAGCGGCATCATCATCTTCTTCCCCTTAGCGTGCAAAATAAGGGAAGAAGTTAATTTTTTCTTCCTTTGTCACCGCCTTCAATCTTTCCAGCTGACACCTTCAAAAAGATGCCAACACCACTTTCCACGTGTTGGACGGATAATGGAGGGGCGGCAACACAGTGGCCGCCCCATCCACTTGCTCCCCTATTTTTCACCTATAAAAACAGGGGGAGACAAATCCTAGAGGGGGACCGGAAAAAGAAGAAGAAGAAGAGGGAGCAAAAAAAGAAGACAAGAGAAGAGAGGGAGCTGAACTGAAGAGGAAGAAAGAAAGAAAAAAAAAAGAGCAGGGAGAGGAAGAAGGAGGAGGAGCATCGCCAGCCATCGCGCCTCTATCGATAGTTGCCATTAGCATCGCCACCACTCCAGGTAAGCCCTCTGCCCTTCATTTTTCCTTCACTTTTTCCTCCTCCATACAAGACGTGCATAGTGCACGTCTGCAGGCGGGGAGAAGCTGATTATTGTGTGCTTATAAATAGTAGCAAGCTAATATGGGCTGGGCCGAGCCCAGCCCATGCAATTGGGCCAGGTTTGGCCCAGCCCATCTATTTAGACCTGGCTCGACCTATTTTTTTAAAAAAATTAAAATGTTTGTTTTAGAATTTTTACAATTTTTTCGCTATTTTTTTATGAAATTTTGATTAATGTTGGGCAGTATTGTTTTGTCATAAAAATACAAATTCGGTATTAAAATACTTGATTTTCGTCAAAACTTTCAAAAATTAAAAAAATTAAAAAAATATTTTTGTGCATACGGCCAAGTGTCTCAAAGCTAAAACAAATCATATTGTATTTTTTATACACCAAAAATAATATTTTAACATGTATTTTGGCTTTAATAACCAGTTTATTAAAATCAAGACAACATTGGCCAAAATTTCAAAAACAAAAAAAACAATTATTTTGTTTTTTTAGCATCAAAGATTATGAATTTATACGTAAAATATATTCTTGATATTAAAAAGGTAGTTGTTTTTAATATAATTGTTCTTAAAAAGGTGGTTTTTACTCGATAAGATAAAAATCTCCTTACAGATAAGGACTTTTCTTACCCTTAGACAGACCAACAATTAAAAAACCATAACATGACTTTAGATTTGAACAAACAAAACAATACAGTCTACTTTAGGTAAGGCGTATTTGGGGTGCTAATACCTTCCCTTCACATAACTAGTTTCCGTACCTGATCTCTAAGACTAGTTAGGGTTCCTAATAACCAGAATACTAGGTGGCGACTCCTATTCAAATTGTTCACTAATAAGAGACACAAGAATTCCTTATCTCTTTATATTTTGCTAGAAATACACCACATCCACATTTCCATCTTTTCCTGGATGGTGGATAATTGTCACGATGCTGCACACGTGCGACAATATGGTATAACAAACGCTTAACACTTTCATAGCCAACTGTATGATATAACTTATACTTGTGTTATGAAAGGAACTTGATTTTTTTATTAATATAAGTTAGCATCATGAATTCCTGATAATATTTAAAAGTTTGGTGTTACTTAAATAAAATAATTAATATGATCATGTTAACAATTTATAATGAGCTATTAATGACAAATCATTCGATTGGAACCTTGACATGACCAAAAAAAATAATGTCTTCTCCCAAATATAGAAGTGTCGAGATAATAAATAACCTGACAAGATTTGGGTCGAATTACAGGGAGGTTAACTATATAAATTATAAACAACAACAACAACAACAATAATAAAAAGAAGAAAAAGAAGAAGTTAAAGAAGACTTTGAGATTGCAAGATTAATGTGAGGATTAAATAATGATAAAAACAAATGTCAATGTTAGAGAATCCATTAATAGTATCTTAAATGAGTATAGTATAATTTTTTTTTATTACTCAACTAGAAACCACACACAAAGGAGGTTCTAATCGGATTATAAATTATTAACATGATTACATTAGTTATCTTATTTGAATAATGTTAATATCTATAAATATTGTTAGGCACATGATTATAACTTATGCTAACAACAAATCAAGTTTCTTTTATAGCAAGTGTCAGTTATACCATACAGTTGGGCAATAAAAATATCAAGCATTTGTTATACCAAGTGTTATACAATACAAATATAGATTAACTATTTAACAAGCAAAGTATTGAGAGTGAACAAGATAACAAATGCAAAAGATGTTAGTATCAAACATTAAAATCCATGTTGAGTTTATATTATACTTATTCTTATACCATTAGTATACCCTTTTCACCTTGACATAATAAACTTAACTAAATATAATAAAAGAGAGAAACATAAATAAGATATAAGTTAACTACATAAAGAAAAAAAAATGAAAAGTATAAACAAGAGATTAATGAAAGCAAAACTTAAATATTGCAAATATATATATATATAAAGGAAGAGCATGATCTTGATCTAAAAACCAAAATGCCTAAATACATGACAAATGCCCCTTTTAATATGCCAAAATTGGGAACTATTGATTTTATGACTAATTGTTGAGTAGGTGGCCACATCTTGACTTGTTGACAATTTTTATCATCTTATTTGAATAAAACATCATTGATAATGTTAGGATTTGAACAGACTTAAATCATAAAAGTTCTAAAAAATTATCTTAATTTTTCAAAAAAAAAAAGGTCATTTGGACTTCTAAAACTTGAGGTATAGGCTAAATACTAAACAGTGTCTAGGCTGCAGGACATATTTGAATTTCTCCATTGTTACTAAGATTTGAATTCCAAACAGTAGAATTCAGTTTTGCTTTCTCATGAATGTTTTAGGCCTATCTCTTAGCTTTTCATCTGTATAGAGCATACCTAAATCCAAGATTTACAATTATAGAGCATACCTAAATCCAAGATTTATAGTTCCAGATATGACCCAATGACCAAACAGTGTTTCAGTTTGGGTTGAACTAGCATCTCTTTTCTAAGTTTGGCCCTTTGTATGTCCTTTTAATTTCAGTATTTAAACTCATTAATCAATCCTTTCATTTATATGAAAAGCGTGCATTTAAGATGAATATTTACCATAAATTAAAAATATCTTATGGTAGCAAATTGTTATTACAAAATATGTTTTAGTTAAGAAGTTATTGATACTTCAAGTGTAAAATGATAATATAAAACCTTGATAAAAATGCACTCTTAAAAACTAACCAAGTTTCCAAGTCCAAAGGTTATAGACCTATTAAGAAATTTAAAGAAAACTCTCTAGTGTTTTATTAAAAGTTTGTATAATAATCTTAATATCAAAATAACCTAGAAACTTCTATTTATATTAATTCTAAATTCCTTTATGAAAAAATATTTCTAATTAAAACTAAAATCCTTTATAGGAAAGGATTCGTAATAAAAAGTTACCTAATTAATATAATCCAAATACTAATTAATCACATTAGAATTTCTAATTAGTAAACTACTAATACAATAGTGTAAATAAAAATAACCTTATACAATAACTTCCGAGTCTTATTTGAATTAGGAGTGATCATTTTCGATTCGGTTCAGTTTTTACCTATAAAAAGTAAAACCAGTTCAAATTGACTAGTTTCGGTTCGATTATTTAAAAAATAAAAAAACTAGCAAAAACCTATATTGTGTTTTGGGCTTTCTGATAGGTTTTTCTGATGAGCTTGTAATTGATGTTAATATTGTCTAATTTTATAACAAGATTCTAGAATATATTTAATTTTTTTACATTGAATATTCATTTATATTACATTATTAGTGTCAATATTGTGTTAAATATGCTGCAAGCCTTCCTACTATTTTTTTTGGAGTAAGACTCCTACATCAAAGTTTAAATTGCATACACCAAGTTAAAATTTAAATTACAAAGCATTACCTTCAAAAGAATTTTAAAAAACAACCAATAACCTTATCATAAAACATTTTATATATTTTTTTTTAAATTAAATGAATCCACCTAAAAGGCATGCAAGCATCCATGTATATCACTGTATTATAAAATCTTTGGGAACTTATAATGGGAACATGACATCAATTAGTTAAAAAAGAAGCTGAATGACTTTTAGCACCATACCCTAGTTATTAATTCAAGATTAACTCTAAAGTTGTTTGGATGATTGCATCCATCTAAAAACACAATAATCTAAAATCTTTTTAGCTAACATTAAAATGAATAGAGGATGATTGTCATACCAAGGCTAAGCATTTCCATAGGTACTTTTGGAATATCAAACCTGTCTTCCTCAATTGTTTTTATTTATCATCTAAATAGGAGATAATGATATGGAAGTCAAGGAATTAAGAATTCATCCAACTAAGTATAATTACTAAAGGAGAGAAAAAATGTAAAATGTTTAGCAATAACTATTATTGTAGTTTTTTTTTTTAGAAAAAACAAATCACACCATTATAAAATCATTGAATTCATGCTTATAAAAAACAAATCAGCAACTTCATATACATTATACCAGCACCTGAGCCAACATATTCACAATACCAACTTGAATACACCCAAAATAAGTAAAACAACTATATTTATCCCATATAGCATAGTGTTCCAATTCTAGATATGTTCAACATTTTATACAATTAATCTGAAAAAATAAAATTATAAAAGACAACATTCTGCACAATTAATCTAGTTGTAAATTGAATGTTGTTTTCTTATATATACATCATCAATCATGGTTAATTGCCCATAATTGATTATAATTGTAAGATGATGAACCTTGGATATATCACCAAATTATATTCGTCTTAAGAGATTGGACTACAAGAATATGTAACCATAATTAACAAAAATAGCACATGGCTTTTACCGCACTTAAATGTCTGAATAAGAAAATAGGTAAGCAAATCTCAAAAAACCACCACTGACCTCTCAAGTCTCAAATTTTTACAGCAAGCATTAACATCAATGTAAATGAAAATACACAAAGCATATGTTAAAAAAATAAAAACAGAGATTGACAAAAAACAAAAAAATTATACCTGGTGTGACAAAATTTAAGGCCAGGTGCGAATGAAAGAGTCAGAGAGGTGATTGGTTTGCTAGATCTAGAGGTTAGGTGTGGTGACTAGTGTGTGCCATGTCCATGTGGGAGAGAAAGGTGACTGGTTTGTTAGATTTAAAGATGAAGATCAAAGTCTTGTTAAAGATCTTCCAATCTGCAAGATGAAGATTGAAAAGTTGTTAGATAAGTAGATTTGGCCATGAAGTTTTGTACAACGATGAGAAAATTATTTTTTATCAGGTTGAGAATGTGAGAAATTAAAATATGAGATCGAGATCTAAATTTTAAAAGTGATAAATTAAGATCAGAGAATTTTTAGATTTGTAAGGACTAGGGACGGTTTATAAGAGTTAAAGGGGTAAGAAATAAGAAGATGTTAGGGTTAAAAATTATAAAGTACTTTTATAGTATTTTTTTTAACTGAACTAGTTTAATTTGATTTTTTTAATTTCAAGCTTATAAATCGAAACCAAACCCAACTAAAAAAAATTAAAAAGATTCTAATCAATTTTTTTTTTACGGTTTAATTTTTTTGTTAATTTTTTTTCTTGATTTAATAAATTTTTTAATTTTTTGCACACCTCTAATTTAAATATGTTCTTGTGAGATTATCATGAAATTTTAACATAATAATGAAAAGTACCTCTAGAATAATACAATAAAAGGAATATGAATTTATATAATACACCATGCTTTTCAACATATTAAAAATGCAATTATAAATATAATAACATAGTAGTTGAAAATACTTTTCATTTAAAAATACATTAAAATAAAATTTTATTTTTTAAAAAATATTTTAACATCAATTAATCAAAATTATCTAAAAACATAAAAAAAATTTTATTTTAAACAAAAAAAATTTAAAATTTTAGAGGACAATTTACACTGCGTTTTCAAAAACACCCTAAAACATGTGACAATGGCAAAACACAAGGCATGGGCTTAGTTTCGGATTTTTCTATAATGGCTTAAATTTACTATGACTCGGGTCAAATTTAATTTACCTACTTTCATGAAGCCCAAAAAAAGTAAAAGTTACCAATGAGTTGTATTCACCGTAACAATCACCCTGGCTGAGCTCTCTGTTTTTTAACAAACAAATGGACTGCAGGATCTCTTTAACTCAGACCTAACTCAAAAACCCATTTGTTCAATAACATAACAAGAAGTGCACTCGTTGGAGCAGGATAAGAAAAAAACAAACATGTTGGAACGGATCAATCTCCAGACAGACACACATGGATATCAGCCACTAATTCACAGAGCAATAACAAGATTAAAACTCACCACCAAGGTATGGAGGGTACACAAACAGCATGCATCTTCGCTCACCAGAACCAGCCAGCCAGCGAGATGCTATCAATAATTAACACAGATATCTCCTAGGAAATCGACTTTCGTGGAGCAGCCATTCTTTCCGCATCCAAACGGGCTTCTTTATTTTAGCCACAACTCATACCAGTGCTAAAACTCATCTGCTCCCTATTCATAATCTTGAGCATCTGCAGACTCATCTTGCCACTTGACCTTTGGGCAACAAATTCATGTCGAAGAGAACAGAAATGTCTCGCATCACAAGAGGAAGAACGAGCAGTTTTGACTGGTTTCTACAGCTTATTTCAGGGTCAACAGAGTAGGAAAAAGAGCCTAGCAACTCATCATTCATGCATAGCAAATATCCGGATTCTTCTAATAGTACACATTTAAGAATCCATTTGATGGTCGAAACCTGGTTCATGAACCCAGTGTACAAAAAAACCAGTGTTCTTGTATGTAACACCCTCAAAATCCTTCGCATAAGAGTGACAAATTTTAGAAGCTACATTAGAAAAACATCAGGTACTTGCAGGCAGTTGCTACCATAAAGCATAGTTACAAAGCCTTTTTTGAACCCAGAGATAAACCACAGTGATTCTACATTTCAACATGGTTCCAGTCAATTGTTTTGTCTTCAAAGCCATGTTCTGAATGGTGAAGCCTGTTCCGACCCAGTCTGCTCATCATGGCAAGACCTGAAAAGAAAAGGAAAAAAGAAATATAGTAAGAATAGATATCACATTAAGAATTAGAAATTTACACCTCTGTTACTGCTTGTTAGGTGAATGCAAAGATTATGTGTGCTTCCAGTTTCAAAAAGTACAACGGAAAAAATCCTTACACACCACCATTTATAATAATTAAACATACTGTAATGATCATCAGTAACATTGGGTATGAAAAAATGGTGTGATATATCGATGAAGCATTATCCAGAAAATACTTTCTCGAAGAAAGATTAAGCATTGCAGGAAATAGAAAGTCATAAATTTAAACTGACAGGTTGATTAAATATATTAATTCAGAAGGCATATCAGGATATATGGGGGATATGCAACACTGCAAAGGAAAATAAATTGTTACCTTCAACCATTTTGTAAAGAGCTGACCACCACCCATCTCTGGATATTTGATATTGATTTAGTGACTCATCAATTACTTTGTCATGCTTCCCTTCCAACACTCTTTGCAAAGTTACCACCGCATCCTTTGTTTTCTTCAGAACGGAGTTTTCATCCTCAATTTCCAGCTGTTGGAGGTCATTCTGCGATGAAGTGAGGCTAACAGCAAGAGCAAACTGTGCTGCAGCAGCCCAACGGGAAGAGGCCAGCCATCTCCTCGGTCCATCTAACTGTTTGTTCTCTTCTCTTCCCAACCTACTCTCTTGTTCCCCTCCCATTACCAAGCTGCGTAAGTACTGAGCATTTGCAGCCCCTGTACTTTGAACCATCTTAGAGAAGGCGCTATCTTCATTTGAAAGCAGTTCCTCTGGTGTATCATACTCCAGAACCTGAAGGAACAAAAACAGAAAAATAATAGAAGCAAAAAGCATCAGAATTTTCTTAACAGTCTATCAGTTGATTCCATAATAGACAGCATCAGCCTGTTGGTCATTTGAAGTCAGTTCAATATTACAGGTTCAGGGCTAAACCAATAGTAGTAAGTTTGAAGATATGAAAATGACTTGGGATTTGAAACAGGTCACCTGACATAATTTAAGGTTCATTTTCCTTTAAAACAATAACATTTCTATTCATTTGTAGCCTTACACACAGAATGTGAGAAAGGGCTTCCTACAAGTCACTTCCCATGAAAGAAAAAAGAGCCTGGAATAAAATTAAAACACATTGTCATACCCGGCCAGAATCAAGCAGAATGACCCGGTCACAATCAATGATGGTATTGAGTCGATGTGCAATAATTAGCATTGTACATGATCTGAATTCTTCCCGAATAGTTTTCTGAATAAGAGCATCTGTTCTGACATCAACAGCTGCAGTAGCTTCATCAAGAACAAGTATCTTTGATCTTCGCAACAATGCCCTAGCAAGACTTAACAACTGTCTCTGTCCAACACTGAAATTATCCCCTGCCTCCGTAACCTAAACAAATTATGAGGAATGTTATAGTTCAAATTCAACATAGCATTTACAGAAATTCAAGAGAGAGTTAATAATAGGACATGCATATAACATATGCATATCCAATCGTAGGGATAAAAGACTGGTGAGTTTAGTTTGCAATTTTATGCATATTCAATCATTCCAGTCACCATCAAATTAAAACGGATTCCCATGTGTCATTCTATTTGCCTTTCTTTCTTAAGCATTTATCAAAACCATATTGTTACACAATTTTCCTATGAACATGTGTCCTTGATAAATTAACTCCTACTTTTAAGCCACAAAAACCTACGCATAGAGAGAATAGCATAACTACAATGATAAAAAAGTCAACCATACAGATAAATTGTTTTTTGAATAAAATAATCAATCCCATTTCATGTCTCCATTTCACCCTTTATTTCCTTCGTTTACTTTTCCTTCTGTTCCTTTTTTTTTTTGTCTTTGTATAAAATGATCAAAAATATACAGCAACTGTGGGAAAAAAATATATTTACAAGACACTTTGTCAAAGTAATACAAATACAAACTCTATAGTCATATGCTTGAGCTGAGTTCTTTCTACTAGATGAACCCATCCAATGGATTTTAAAATTGGAAATATTTAGGACTTGATAAATTATTGCAAAAAACCAGAGTTTTAGCAGACAAAGATAATGACCATAGAATACAGGAGTAACTATATGAAATTGAAGCTAGGAACCTCAGAGTAAATATTAAGATTTTATGTAAAAGGTTTTACCCAAACTTTTCCGTAACACATGCAAGCAGGCACTCTCAATAAAAGGTTAATAACAAAACAGTGAAGAAGAAAATGCAGGAAATTCTATAAGATGGAAACGCTGCAACAGTACTAAAAGACTAATCAAGAACTCTTCTTAGATATTCTTAAAGGGGAGAACAAGAGAAGAAAAACCCTTCCTGCTTAAAATCATTCAGACTAACAGGACTTAAGAGACATTTACAACAAACTTCTACAACATGTTACTCAGAACACCCATCCTCATCTCCGTGCATTGGGTTGGTGATGCAGACAAGAAAAGCAGCAGAATAACAGTATTATTTTACACTGTGTGTCATTAGTCCCTAGGATTAATATTGTTTTCTTATTTACAAGTTCATTAACTCATTGGAATACCCATGCTTGTAATGCTTTATTTTCAAATAAGAGTTTATTATGGAGAATAAAGGACAATAATGGCAATGGTATTTGTTTATTTTGGAATTTTAATATTGTATGATTATTCTAGATTTTATTATTATCTAGAACTATTAATATTTATTATTTAGTGGTTAAATTAAGATTCTAATTCTCTTAGGATGCGTATGGTATACTGGACAGAATTGGAAGGATGAGACTGGACTGAATTAGGCACATTGGATAAGCATGTTTGGTGCACATTGGATTGGACTGGAATAAACAACTCTGTATTGCATTTGACAACCATAAAACAAGTCAGATCAACACTATATAAGGACGATAATACTCATGCTTTCTCATATGAATAAATACAATAATAATAATCTAATTCTTTTTATTTGTTTTCAATTTATAGAATTAATTCTGTTATAAAATAATACTATATTATGTTATTTAATTCTTATTTGTTTAATAATAAAATACTTAATTAAAATATAATAAATAAATTAATTAAATACAGTAATAAATATCCAATGCATGATTGTAAAAACCAGGCTCGACAGTTTATAATTAGACTGGCTAGGTCATTGATCCAGTCACAACTAGTCAACGCCACCATGACTTTGAAACAAAAAACTGCTTAGAGTAGAATTCAAACCTTGGACCAATTTTTTTAACTATTCAATTTAGTTTTAATATTAGAAAGTTGAAGTTACAATAATTAACCCATTGAATCAGCTCACTAACCTAGCAAGTTGACCCATGATTTGATGATCTGGGATTTTAGCTAGGTGGCTCTGTGTTAGACCTAACAATGATCATAAAAACGTTAATTATGTTTAACAAATAACTCTACACATAATTAAAAAGTTGTCTTTTATTTATTAATATATTTGAGTATTTTCACAACTAAAGTTATTATTTTATTTATTTATTTTGAAATTACAAATCTAAGTATTTTATTTTAAAAAAATTGAAGTAAATAAATTTTATTATTGTTGAAACAATTAGTTTCTTTTATTTTATTTTCATAAATAAACATTTATTTTTAAAAATAATTAAATTTTCATTAATTTTATTTATTTTCATAAAAAGTTATATGCAAAAAGTCCGAAGCTCAAAAAGGCAATGATATTTTCCAATTTAAGAGAAATAAGTATGGGTAGCATACAAAGAATGTTTTGATAAGCTTGTCCCAGGGGGCAACCTTATCCTTAGGGGGCGTTCAAGAAAAAAAAATTATGGGACAAGATTGAAACCACCTCTTTTCCTGTTTCAAGTGCACACCAAATAGCTTCATTGGACAATTTGTGCTGTTATAATGTCCCGTGTACCGAACATATCCTTATGGATTTAAGACTTATTATTTTATTTAGTTTGAAGCCTCTAAATAAACATCTACATATTCAGTTATAAGTTCATTGAATTATTGAATAAATATAAAACCTTCTTCAAGATTGTGTCTCTCTTGTTTGGTGATCTTCCTGGTGGTTTCACACCAATTTATGAATAAAACTTCCAAACTATATACTTTTGAAAGCGTGATGCAATCTCTCTTAGGTGTAATAACTCCTAAAGAACTAAGAACGAAGCTTAGTTTTTCCTCCTTAGTGTGACTCCTAGAAAACCTTTCCATCTTCCTACAGTTTTGCAGCAAACAAACCCCAATATCCTCACCATCAAAACAGCCTCCATTGGAACTCCTAAACATCCACATGTTCATAACCAATCAAACCTATAACCATTAGCCACCGAAAGATCAATTCAAACCCTAAAGTCCCTTTTAGGGTTACTGTTTACTGTCTCAATAAAACAGTACCAGAACAAAAACCCTAAGTTGCCGTGCACTAGTTATGCTAGATGATAAAATCAGCCCTTGGAAGCAAAAGATACCTGAACAACAAGAGAGATGCATTAAAAGGAAAATCTCAAAATATACCTCAGAATCCAGTCCTAAGGAATTCCTTCGGATAACATCCTTCAAATGAGCCCTCTCCAAAGCCTCCCAAAGATCAGCATCATTGTGTTCACTGAAAGGATCAAGATTAAACCT